ATGTTCAAATTAAAAAAGAAACTTTAAGATTAATTTTATCAATTGAATTCAATTTTATAATTTATTTAACTTTAAAATTCAGGTTTCCTGGACAAAAGAAGGGTTCCCCCCCTCCCCTCTCCCTTGGGTGTTGGGTGAGGCTAACTTTACACCATCCTCTTTTTTTTTCATAAAGATTATTTACACATCATACCCACTATCTACATGAAATTTCATGAGTTATAAAGGGAAAAAAAGGGTTCTTCCAATGTTCCTTAATTTGTGGATATAGTTATAAAGGTTTTAAGAAAAAAACTGGGTTCTTTTTTGCAAATGTTCCTTAATTTAAAATGTGGATATATAGTTTTAAATATTATGACTTTGGAAATGTTTTTTGTCTTTGTTCCTGTATAACAGAGATTCTATTAGTTAAAATTGCATTCATAAAAAAATATGTTGTTAAGAATTATTAAAAAAAAAATCATGATTTAAACTTATGATAAGAGCATTTCCTTAGGTTAACAAGTGTATGGTTGATAGCTAATGCTGAATCATTATATATTGATATTTATGAATATTCAAGAGTGTATGATACTGAAACTTTAAATATGTATAGGTCAGGCAATTTTTGAAATTTTGATCATCAGAAAATTATATTTGACTGTATTAAAATCAGTATTTATAGATAAACATTAAGAAGATTGGCACAAACACTGTACTTTCACACTTTTGGTTTTACAAATATGAAAAAGTTTAAATTACTAAGGATTAATCATAATGACATAAAAGACAAGACTTACAAAATAAATATTAAAATACTCAGTTCTCAAGATTGAAAGTTTTTTAAGATTGAAAGTCTGAAAGTTTTTAAGATTGAAATCCTAAAAGTCTGAAAGTCTGAATCTCAAGATTTAATATACATATTGTGTTTTGAAGGATTGAAAGTCAGTATATGATTTGCTTGTAAAAATCTCTAAAATAAAGGAGCACATTCAGTGACATATTATAGAAAGAGTAGGAGATTTTATACCTAATTCCTTACAAATAAAGAATATCACTATGAGATCCTTATAATGAAGTTTTTACTGTAGCAGAAATACATTAACCTTTAACCTGAAAAGTCAATAGAGGTGTTAAGATATTCATGGAAAACAATGGTATAGCAAAAATTGTGTTGATCTTTGACCTGAAAATCAAAATATATGAAGTTTGTTTAATTAACCTATCCATGAAGTTTGATGAATATTAACTAAACAATTAAATCTTGCAGATGTCCACATCTCTTTGACCTTTTGACTAAAAACTTAATAAGGTCATTTATTTACCTTTGTGTAACTTTGATGAGTATCTTATATGTTGGATAGATTAGCAAAACACAATCTAATCTGACTAAAGAAGAAACCTGGAAAATCTTTTATTCCTTTGTATGAACAAATTATTTGATGTCATGCAGTTATTTTAACCAAAATATCAGAACAATCTGATGATTCTTAAATAAAAAGTTCTCACTATACTAGTCAGAAACCATTAGTCTACCTGTCAAACACAAAAATATGAATGTCAATTTAAAAAAGCAAGTATGGTTCCTTTTCTTCAAAGGGTAAAATTCTGATGCATTGGGTGAGTGTTTGTTACTTTATGCCTAATAAAGAAAATTTTTTCCTCCATTTTGACTGTATGGATTAAGAGCTGTTCATATAATTGAAACAATGTAATGTCATTCTAAATGTCTTAGTGTCCATCATTCATAATATGTACAAGCCTCAATCCTAATAGATGAATCCACATTTCTTTTTTTTAATTTGTATTAAAAACATTAAAATATTTTAGGGAAACTCAAAATTCTCTGTTCATGTTAATTTCTGCTGTATACCTTCTATCATTTGACATAACACATTTGCTTTTTGTATTTTGATTGCCTAAATCAGAGCTATTCATGATCATACATAGAAAGAGGACAAAAAAATGAATACAGTGAATTTATTGCAATAATATCTACATGTTTGATACATAAAAAAGATATTTTTTTTCATTCCTTTTTTTTTTGACCTTTGGATTGATCCTGAATTGAGATAACCATTTACTTTTAGGCAAGTGTAAACTATATACTGCATGACTAAACATGATTTGTATATTGAAATTTGAAATGGTTCCTTCTAGGGTAACATCATAATGCTCCAACTGTCCTAGTGAGAATTACGCTCAATCAACTTTGTGAAATATTCCCAACTTCCAATGCTTCTTATTTACATTAAAAAAAAAACTGTCTCAAATTAAATTGTTTGTTTTCTCATTTATTTTACAAGGAATTACATGCAGACAGTGAATCTAATCATTTTTTTTAACTGGTTAAAGCAATGTTTACAATTGTCTTAAAATGCTTAAAATGCAAGTTTATTTCATACAGAAATACCTTAAGTGTATAGACTAAATGTACTTATAGATTAAATATATAGAAGAACCCCTTATAAATAGCAAAAATCATTTTTTAAACCTGATTTTCTTCCTCTTTCTATATATTAAGTTTTCTCAAATTATTGATTACATAAGCAAACAAATTTAAGACAAAACCACAATATATGCTGAATACCCTGAAATGAAATGGTTATATATATAAGATGTGTAACACATCATGTACAACTTTTAAGTCTACAAAATTTCATGTTAACCATATTATACAATAAGACTACTTTTTTCAAAGTTATGAGAAATTATCAACAAAAAATGTATTTATGCAAAAGATAAATGTTAGGGTACAATTTTAAAATACATTTTACATGAATCACATAAAGAACATATCAAATCATTTCTTTGTGGTTGTTTTCCTTTTGGAACATCTGTGAACAGATATTCTGTTTTGTCTTATTGATACACAAAAAGCGTCCAAAAATCATTTGTAATTGTTGTGTCAGAATTTTAAGAGTTTAGGATGTGTTCCCTACTTAGAAATGTTTACAATGTAACAAAGATGAAACTCATAATTGATTAAATCAGCAATTATAAAGTCATCAGGTTTACACATGCTTTTCTAACACACCATGTATATTTTTTTCTACTAGTATGTCTTTTTTTCAGGAAAAAAAAATGAAATCAACAGTACTTAGCATTCCATATTAAGAAATATGAACCCTAGCTATTAAAAATCTAAAAGTATATTTGTGCATGTTTATGTTTAACAAAACAATCTCTTTCACTGTGATGAAAATTGTCTTCTTCATATAACATGCAGATGAAGAACTTCTTTGAATGATGTCATTTTCACATGTAGAAAAGAAATTAATTCAACTAAAACTAAAAGACAGTCATTAAAATTTTAAGGACATTAAAGGATGATATCAAGACTGAAGTCCAGGAATTGATAAAATTCTACAATTATCATCCAAAGATGTATATGTTTGGATTTATTTTTTAATTCACAAGCAAATGATATGCTGCCATTTAATCTTTCAAACTTAAAAAAAGTTCTATACTTTTGAATTAAAAATTTCAAAAATCTAGAGGAGTCTTCCCAATACCTATCTATTTATGACTGAAGGTATGTAAATCACCAGAGTTGCTGTACTGCACCATTTAAATAAATGTCATATCCACATTCCTGCCTTTTTTTCTAAACCTTATTTCAAAACATAAATTATTCCAACCAGTCTTTATCTACGCAGTGATTATAAGATTTTTTACAGAATTCTAAGGTATTACATAGTAATAGTCTTTAAACATCCTTGAACATAAAGCATATGATTTTCAGTTCAATTCTTTCTGAATAATATGCTATGCCACCCAATAAAGCTGATATAAAGTCTCTAGGTTATCACAAAATGTTAAAATTATAACAACCGAATTTTATCCAGGAGAAAAATGATCCAAAAATCTAAAGATCATCTTAGAATCTTTCTTTTACTTATGATGTGAAGTTTGCAGGTTACAAATTATTGTAAAAGGTAGTTATCTCAATAATCTCATGCTTTGACCCTGACAAAGTGTCCTATAAAACTAAGTGTATTACTCTAACCTGTTCTGTGTAGTAAGCATGAGATGATAAAAAAATATATAAGATATTATTACATCACAGATCAGGGGACACTTACATTTTTATGGGTGTCCTATTGAGACCTATTAAATTCAAAATAGGACACACACATACACTAACAAAATGTATTTACAGTTCCTGGAAAGTAATAATTACACCAAAGCTAGCTTTTAAACATCTGTGTAATTTGTTAGGGGTTGTAGAAATAAGATGAAAAATAAAAGGTTTAAATGTATACTTCTCATAAATAACAACTGTCTTCAATATGAATTGGTAAAAATAAAAGTCACATTTAGATACTTTGAAGTCTGGGAATTAGTTTTTTGAAGATCTCATACTATCAGAAAATCACAATATCAATTCTAGGATTTGATTAGACCTCAGTTTGTTAAATGGCTGCAATTTATCTATTATTGTGTATGACAGAATATGGAAAATATGAAGGGGAGAGCTTTTGACCTTTTTTTTCCTTCATCATAGTTTAAAATATATATTATACAGGTCTTTATCTATGTAGTGAATATAGGATTTTTACAGAAACCCTAGGTATTACATAGTAATAGTCATATAAACACCCTTGAACATTGTTCATTTGATTAACATTTCAATCCTTTCCTAATAATTTGCACCTAATTTTTATAAAGTCTGTAAGTTATCACACAATGTTAAAGTTATTGCATTACAACTCATATCAGTAATCCCAGTAACTAACTTTTACCCAGGAGTAAATGATCCAAAAAATCTATAGAAATATCTTATTGATTCTTCATCTGTGTTCTTATGATGTGAAGTTTGTAAGTTACAAATTATTGTCAAAGAAGTCATCTCAATAATCTTATGGTTTGACCCTGACAAAATGTTCTATAATACTAAGTGTATTACCCTAACCTGTTCTGTGTAGTAAGCTTGAAGTGTATGAGATGATAAAAAATATTCAAGATATTATTGCATCACAGATTAGGGCACGCTTACATCTTTAGGGGGGGGTCCTATGGAGACCTATTAAATTCAAAATAGGACACACACATACACAAACAAAATGTATTTACAGATCCAGGAAAGTAATAATTACACCAAAGCTGGTTTTTAAACATCTGTGTAATTTGTTAGGGGTTGTAGAAATTAGATGAAAAATAAAGGATCCAATGTATAAAAATCATACATTACAACAGTCTTCAATATGAATTGGTAAAAAATAAAAGTCACATCCAGATACTTTGAGGTCTGTGAGAATTAGTTTTTAAAGAGCTCATGCTATCTGAAAATCATGTTCTCAGTACTTGATTTGACTAGATCTCAGTTTGATAAATGGCTACATCTTATCCAAAGTCAGTGTCTGACAGTAAAAGATACAATCCTGGGTCCTTTCTTTGTCATCCTGTAAACCACAGTCTATGATCGTACTTAAATTGGTTGGAACTCATATTTATTTATGTGCTTCTTAAATCCTCCATCCACCTCCTGTTTGATTTTCTTGTTTCAGTGTTCCAAGAGAGGATATTCTGTTAGTCTTTGCATAATCTGATAGTCTTTCACCATTCTGAGAGTAGACATAGATCATTTCCACAAGCCCTCACTAGAATATCCTGGAAAATAAAAAATAATGTCTTAGTTGAAAAAAAAAATGTTATGTAATATAAGCTTGATGGAATTCTAAATGTAGACAAAAAAAAAAAGGTATAAATACAAGGTGTAATATCAGATTTTGACTTTTCATATTAACCATGGGTAACACCTCCAGTAAAGAAAAGAGTAAAGGAATGAGTAAAATTCAGTTTGGAAAGAGATTTCTTTCAGAGAAAGATATAGACAGAGGTATACCAGTTAAAATAAAAAAAAGATGCCACTATTGAGATCATTTCTCAAGAAGAATATTACCAATTATGTCCAGAAAAGTGTGATCCTAATGTTGTCAGAGATTACATAGAAAGACCCTTGATTGAAGAAGAAGCCAATGAAGAATTAATATAACCATTTATTACCAAAAGAGGGTAAGAATTACTTGGATTACCCTGAAAGACCTATGACTAGAGAAGAAGTCAAGTTTAAAGATGATAAGAGAAAACAGTTGTCAGAAAAAAGATTGTTAAAGACACATGATTTTTAGCCCACAAAACCATTGGAGAAGATACAAGGATTAATGGAGGAATCCAAACTAAACTCTTGGAAGACAATAAGGCTCATTATGAGAGTAACTTTCCAGTGTTTGTTTATTCAAAATTATGTATTATGATAAAAAAAAAGTTTTCACTTTCATTTGTTGTGCCTTAGACTTTTTTAAATTGACCTTCTGGTCAAGATTGTGATATATACACTCTGATAATCATCTATGATGTCTCTATGATGTTTACCTCAAAAGTTGGAATCAGGGTATTTGTTTTCAAAGAGCTGAAGAAAATATACAGACAGATATAAGATTTTGGAAGCATACATTTTAATGAGGTTAAAGGAGATATAACACTTAAATTAATTACTACATTATTAAAAAGAAAAAAAGAACACAAACTCATAGAAATGATATTGAAAGTACCATAAATGAATAAAGAATCATGCTCCAAGGTATATTTTTATAAACAGGAGAAGGTTTAAAGCAGTCCCTATGCACTCATAAGAAGATCTTGGGTAGTAGAAACACCAGGGAATTTTAATTCCACACAATCAGATCATCTTACATCAGTTATAAGGTTACAGTCTTTATACATAGTCAAGAGGGTTATTGAGGTTTATTCACTGTTCATCCTGTGGGGGTACATTATAATATTCTTTGCCTGTAACATAATGTCAATATTAAATGAAAAATCGAGAATTCATCAGCAACTGGAGTCAAAACTTGCTATCTTTACCAACTATGCTATTAAGGAAGCTGGGGGGGGGGGTTAACAAATTAACCATATTTAACTTATTCTATAGATTTGCTATCTTCAGCTGTTAACTATTATTTGGCAAAGAAAAACTTCATACATTTTAGTTTTAAAAATTGATCATGCATTTTTTGTATATATTTATTTCTTTTCTTTTTCTTCTAAAGGATGTTAATATAGTTTAAACATGACCATGACCACCAAGCCCTCATGATTTTTAAAAAGTCATATATCATTTACTTATCAATTCAAAAATATAAAAATGCATATGTAAAATAAATAAATAAATAGAAATTACAATTGTATCTCATTGAAACTTTACCTTCAAGTTTGTGTGTTTCTATGTTGCTTGATTAAATGTATATTTCCAAAGGAAGAGCAGACAGTCTGAAGTTCATAGAGGAACAAAACATATCTTCCATGTTGATGACTGTAGAAATAAAACCCTTATGACAGAGTACTGCATGAAACAATGCATGTTTAAATATACAATGCCAAAAAAGATCATGAAAATATTTGTTTTTAGTAATTACTCAAACAAAGTCTTTAACATTAACTCCAGATTGAGAAAAATTCATCATGTTATATTTAGATAATAAAAGAAGCATAATTACTGTATTTATATCACAAATAAAAATGATTATCAAATTAATTATTTAGACACTAGCAGACTTTTTCTTAACAGCAGATTCAATTTTGTTTAATACCAGTCAGTACTGCATACAGAAAAATACATTTTTTTAGCATCATCACAGTACAACATGTAGTCCTTAATTTTTTGAAAAGCTCATGACCAAGAAACAAAAGTGAAAATGAAATTATATGTTTGCCATATATCACACATATTTAGAATCAAAACATAAGTAAATGACTTAGAATTAATCTTTTGTAAATTCCTCCTTTTCTCTCATTAGATTCCTAATTAATATCTCTTTGATCACCATTTAGTAAGTCTGAATTCCATGGGTAACATACATAATGAATTATGAAATCATGATTTAAATACAAAAGGACTTATTAATATTCTGAAGATCCCTTAATCATGTGTTAATATATTTTAGGTTAAATAAGGGTGTGCTTATATAAATGTAAGTTAGAGACAACAGATCTCATAAGTATTACACAGTAATTGAATTAACCATATACATGTATAATCATGCTTAAATGCAAAGATGACCTTCATAGGAAATGTAAACAATTAAAACAAGACAAACTTACCAGAGATATCCAAATATATGCCTAATAAGTCTATCAATTAAATAATCCAGTGAAATAACATCTCAGCTGATCCTGAAAAAATCATAGAATTCAGTGATACACAATTATCCTCATTTTACAATGTAAGTAAAGTAATAATTTACAGACAAAGGGGAGAGAAATGTAAAAGATACCATGTATTTTACCAAAATTTAGAGAACATTTTTCTGATTTAAATTCAATCATCGAATGACCCATCATAGAAATATTAAATGCACTCTGAGTTACATGCAGGTTATACATGTACAACTGTAAATCACATGAAATGAGGATAATTGAATACAGTATTTACATTCAAAACAGAACTTTACATATAAATCATGATTAAATGCAAAGATGACCTTCATAGGAAATGTAAACAAAACTAAGACAAACTTACCTGTGGAATATGTCTGTCAGAACATGGTCTCAACATTCATATGGCAAGAATGCATCAGGATGATTACTTCAGTGATCATAGAGAAATTGAGCTTTATACAAGGAAAGCTTCATAGCATAACAATCATCATAGAAAAAGAGAGGAAAAACAAAAGATAGTCCTACATTTTCTGAAAATTTAAGTTCACTTCTTAGAAACAAAAGTGAAAATGAAACTTTAATTTTACAAGTGTATGACGTCATAATGCATCTATAGGTAGCTCGCTGAATAGAGTGTGTACAGAGATGTACACAGTAGGATCAAAAGGTAAGTCCAACCTATATTTGCACACGACCCTAATTTTTTGCACACGGTCCTTACAGATGATGCAACAGGTATAAAAACGCAGGTAAAACGTATTGATTCTTGTTATAATTTGTCTTGTGTGTGTTATTTGTTATTGTTTTCAGTAAAAAAAAATCCAGGTTGTTATTGTTTTCAGTAAAACCAGTTTGAACCGGTTAGGCTGTCTAGACTAGGCTTTAGACTGTGAATGAAAAAGTGTGACGTCATAATCACATTGTATTTATACAGTGGATGACGTCACAATGCATAGGTAAGTCCAACCTATTTTTTGCACACGACCCTAATTTTTTTTTTGCACAAGGGCCTTACAGTATAGTGTAAAACACTATATTTAGAGCTATATACTGAATCCCCACCTTAGTCCCCAATAGGGTTAAGGGGGTTAAGGGGTTAAGGGCTAAGGGTTAGGGCTAGGGTTAGGGTTAGGGGCTAGGGTTAGGGTTAAGGTTAAGGGGATTAGGGGATAGGGTTAGAGGGGTTAGAGGGTTAGGATTGCACTCAATTGACCCCCTTATCCTCCCAACCAATCAAAATCCACCATTTTTGACCTCATTTGCATAAAAAGTGCACTCAGTTGACCCAGCCATCCAGCCTGCTTCAGGCTAGGACATTAATGGATAGACCACTTCCGCTTCCGCTACCCCACTTCCGCTTCCGCTAGACCAATTAGGGTCCAGCCAGACCACTTCCGCTTCCGGCTAGACCACTTCCGGCCACTTCCGGTTAGGCCACTTCCGGTTAAACCAATTCCGGTTATGACGTCATTTCCGCCCCGGCAAGACGCCTTATACTACTAATGTGATTCCTCTTTTCAAAAAGGATGACCCCTCTGTGGTTTCCAACTACAGACCAGTATCGCTACTATCCTGTGTAAGCAAAATTATTTAGAGAATTATTTTTAAACACGTGTACAATTATTTCCATATCAATGATTTATTTTATCGATACTAAGCAGAATTTCTACCTGGTCATTCAACTGTATATCAATTATTGTAAATCACTATTTATTCGCGAGAACTTTATTTTCGCGTAATTACGCGAGACAATATGCTCGCGAAAATTTCATTCTCGCGTTTAATAGTTTTCCTTAAGATTAAATAGATCAATGACCACGATTCGTGAAAATTTTGTCTCGCATATAAAGAGTCAATGACTATCTCGCGAAAATAAGGTTTCGCGGAAATTAAGTGATCTACAGTACTAGAAACATATCGTAATATTTACATTCGCAAATATCTTTCTTGATGAACCTATTGAAGAGAAAATACGTTCAATTCTGTGTGAATTTCATTTGGAGGTCAGAGGTCATAGCGCGACTGGATCACAGAGCGATGTGATATTTTGACCAAACAACTTCTAGGTTATTGCGCGTCACTACATAGCAATACGTTGGCCCGTTCGTGTAATAAATGCAATTTAACTCGAAATGTATTCGTTTCAAATGTAAATATAAGTAATAAACAACAATGTTAAAAAGTTCAGCGGGAAATGAACTTTAAGTTGGTACGTGATCAAATCTACTGAGAAGCCCTTCGGGCTTCACAGGATTTGATCACGTGACCAACTAAAAGTTCATTTCCCAGAGAACTTTTTAACATTGTTGTTTATTTCTTAAAAGTATACACGCTATAACTTGCGCCAGTTAAAATACGATTGGAAATTGATATCATTTGTTTATCAATAAAAGTCACGAAAATACTGTAAATTACACCTTTAAAATTAAATGCGTTACAAAGTTATCAAATTATAATTATTTATTATCCTGCAAGGAAAGAAAAATAGCTATTTTTAAATAAATCCATCACGTGACGACGTGGCGAAAAGAAAACAAGGTAGGCCGTTTGAGATACTACTCACTTTTGACGTGGATGGCAAGCGTCTTACTCTTAATGGTACTTATCTTTTAATGTATTCAGTATCAACCATCTTCTCTGTTTTGACTCATATTGACCTTATATTAATAATTGTTGTCAAAGTGCAGCATGCCTCGTTGTCTGAGATTTCCCGTGGACATGTGTTTCTATATATAGGCCTACTGTTTACGCACTTCCTTCATCAATATTCATGAAAAGACTGAATTCTTAATTCCTAGATATGTTTAATTGTTTTGTTATTACAACGACATCTATAGTACAATTTTGTGGAAAGTATTATTTTTCATTACACTTCATGTGTTTTAAATCATTAATCATTTTGTTTTACACAAAATTCGGCGTTCATACAGCGTATATGTCTTTAAGTATTGTTCAAAGCATAGACGAATGTTAATCTTGTTGTATGGTTTTTTTATCTTTCAAAGGCTTTTGATAGAGTTTGGCACAAAGGGCTTCTATTTAAATTGCAAACTTATGGTATATCTGGTGATATTCTCCAATGGTTTTCCAGTTATCTAAGTCAAAGGTCTCAAAAAGTTATGTACAAAGATTTGTTATCATCAAAACAAGATATTTTTGCAGATGTACCTCAGGGTTCTGTTTTAGAATTATAACCGGACTTGTATATTTGTATCTAGAGATGCACTTTATTCTAAAACTGAGTGGGAAACTTTAAAAAACAGACGATATATTGCTAAAATGACTACTATGTACAAAATTCATACTGGACGAGCACCGGAATATTTAAAAGATATTGTCCCCAATTAGCGTGAACATGTATCCACATATAATACCCGTAAAAAATTGCCGATAATGCGCTGTACATTCTAAGGAACATACTATCAAATTTTCAGGATATGTTTTCTAGCAAGAATTTTTATGCAGTAAACCCGCAGAAAATATGATACTTGTAAATTGTTTACAGTCATATATTAGGTCTTACAGTCCAGGTGTTTGTATAAATTTGGTTTTAAATTCATTTTACAATTTGTTAGCCAGCAGAACAAGGCGACTACACGAGATTTGAATAAATAATAACCAAAGAATGATGATGATAAAAATCCCAGGAAAATGCATATAATTAATTTATCCCGTTTTTAGTGTTGAAGATTCATTCCTTCCTGAAAATTATAGGCAAACTTTTGCCCCGACTTTGATTGGCAGTCATGATGCAATACGCATGTTTCCCTGAGTTTTTTCAAATAACATGCGCACATACAACCCCTCAAGTTTTCCGCTAAGCAATTTCATTTATGATAACTTTCTTTCTGCATATCATAATCTTTACGCAGACTTCTTCTGAATGACTTTTAACAGTTTAGTAACACTCAATATAAATTATTCCTTTCATTTAGTATTGTATTTAATAAGTCCTTAGACAAAACACATAATCATATCAGGATTCAGACTGGAATTTAATTATAAAACTTGTAGAATGTTTACGTACAATAGCATGCACTTTGTATTATAATCTACTTGATTTGTACGGACTTGAAGTCATTTGCAGATAATTAAACGGGAAACAACGCAACGTTGCCTTTGTGACGTGACTGACGTCATAATGAAATGTGCACAAAACAACCGCTCTGTTCTACTCAGCTTTCTCAGATTTATACCAATGTCAATTACCTAGTTCAATCCATTTCAATAAGCAGGGCTTATATACAGACTTAGTATCAGAATTCAAAATCTAATTCGGCTTAGTAAAATTAGGTTGCAATAGCTTAATTAAAAAGCCAGTTGATCCCAGCCTCCCACAAGCACATTTTTTTTGCACAGTACTCGTATATATAGGCAGTGAAACTATCCTATGCAAATTTATCTAAAAGTTGAGAATTATCACACACACACCCCTCCCTGAGGATGGAATTTTCGAATTTAGAATACTAAGTATTCTCCTTTCTGTGGTTGTCAAACATTTCTTCAGGTAAGTTGTACAGCCCCACAACCCGCAAATTTTCAAAATCGATGTGCCTATTCAGTACATATTTTATATATCAAATAACTGGAAACATTAAACTTTTAGTACTTTTAATATTTCTTTTCTTCAATATCCAACAAAACGCAAAAAAGGAGAGAAAAAAAAAACCTAAAACAAAACAAAAAATAAAACAAACAAACAAACAAACAAACAATTTTTTTTCTTCATTTTTCTTTTTTCATTTTTCTTTTTCTTTTCTTTTTTTTTTTTATCTTTGAGAGACAGCTTTTATTTATTGTCATTGAACTTGGTTTCTAAATTTTCCACTGTATTTAAATTAAATTTTAAACCATTCAGAAAACGAATTTCAAAATTCTTCGATTTAAATTTTTCATAGTTATCAGAGGCCTATACATTTTCAGATAATTTGTTACTAGTATAAATTTATATTTTTTAATTTTTTTTAACCGCTCCCTTAGAAAAGTCCGCCTTTAAATGTCTGAAGTCCGAAGTCCGCTGTTCTCTTTACGCTATTTCGCAAATGTCCAATAGGAAGATTAGAAGTTATGTACTGTGTTAACTAGATACTGTACATAGCCTTACCTGACATAATAATATTATTAGGAAAACTACAGGTCATCTACCGAAATTCATTGCTGTATAACTTATAGCTTATACATGTATTTTATAATATTGCAGTCAATATTGTTTCCCTGTATCTTTCCTCATATCAGATGATTAAACCTTTGATTAAAATTGACTTTCTGTTTGTTGTTTTACACTAGTACTCTAAATATTAAATTTTTTTTTATATTTTTACTTTACGGTTGCAATGCTCTACATCTTGTTGTGGGGAAAACATAGAAAACAGGTTTTGATAGTTGTGAACTCAGATGATGAATTAAGGCCTTAGTTGAGCGTATGTTTTATCTTCCTGCTGTTAAATCACGATACATGTAGACTATTAATTCAACCATTTTATTATGTACATGTAAAAAATAGAATGGTTGCGATTATAATTCCTTTTCAGCGAAGTTTGCATTGAAAGGCTCTTTGGTTTTGTATCAAAAGCGTGCAGGTTTACATTAAAAGATGCAAAAGATTGGCTTGAATCAGGTAATGAAATTTACAAACAGTATAGTAAATGCACATTCAAGATAAATCCAAAAATTCTAATGTTTAAAATAATAAACAGATTTATAACTACCACGTAAGTCATAGTTATAAAAATAAAAGTCAATTCGTAATGATCAGTTTCTTTTGAAATATTCGAAGTCGAGAATTTGAACGATAGCATTAAAGAGACATAGACACCGTTTCGGCAAAAACAATTGTAAATTTATTTTTCCATTTTTACAAATATTGAACAAATGTCTTTCTAATGATCATCGATGGGAGATTGGAGGTCAACAATACTGCTACATCGCCAATAATTTCAACTCATTACCGCTACATTTTTTCAATTTTTCGACCTATCATTACCGCTACATTTTTTCCGTCGAAAACAACCCATTACCACTACATATCGAATCAGCCAGGTATGGTACGGAATATGAGTTCCAATCACGGATTACTTTACAAGACAACAGAATGTCAAGAAAATGGCATTCAAAGCTTTAGCGATTGTGTAAAGACATTGTAAAGACTGTGAGTTATCTATGAACAGTGCTTGATTTTAAAATTTCTAAAGTGTTTTATGAAATAAAATAGATTTTAAATTAAAAAAAAACCCACTCTGCTCAAAATTCTACTTTCACCTCCTAGGTGAGCAGGGGAAACAGGACTTATCCTTGTAGCAGTAAGGATTATGTAACGGTAATGAAAATTTCAGAAATGTAGGGGTAATGATACGCACCCATTTGAATTTCAGGTGTCTGGATACAAGACTGATTTAGAGCTCCAAGCTTTTATAATGTAAACAGGTCCGAGTCATGTTTTTGTTAACATAGGTTAATATACTAATATATGTTCGTTCAAGGTAGTTATTTTCCATAAAAAGTTAATTCTATATACAATAAACATTTTCTATTAATTTGCTCCATTTAATTTTTATACATATGATATTTTCTTTATGTAATCAAAACAAGACACAAGCCTTTTTTTTACATAATGAAAAAACTTAAAGTTCTGTATCTCATTTGTTAATCAACAAATGATGTTCAAGTTTTTGCTGATTATTAGATGATGCCTTAGTAGGAATTATAAACATTAAAACTGGTTTTAAAAATTAAAAATTTAGTTGAAACTGTGTCCATGTCCCTTTCTAAAAGTGCAACTTCAATCGCTGAACTTTTAATGCTTAAAACTTGTAACTTAAGATATACATACATATAATGGATAAACCATACAGTTGACACCATGATACAATTAACGTCAATTTTAGAATTAAGAATGTCAGCAATTATGTAATCTGTTCTATGACATATTTCATATTCGAGTTCTTTAATGTTCTCTTTTTTCTGTACCAGCTGATTGCCCTAAAGAATGCCATGTAATAATCAGCAACTTAAGCGGTACTAAATGGTTTTCTTACGGAACGTTCTACACAGCCGTCTATGAACTGAGATCAATAGATCTTTGTTTCAATGGTTTGAGTGAGAGTTTGAAGACAATCAACATAAGCTGCGAACGTTCATTTGCAGATAGTAGAAGTATGACAGTTATTTGCAAATCAGGGTTTGAAAATGGTAAGTCAGAATATACTGCTATATTTTAAGAAATTATAAATATATCTTATTGCTAAGTCATGATATTCGTACTTTAGGGAGACGTGAGCCAAAATTGTTCAGGATGAAAAGAAATGGGCTGTGTTGACGTCTTCAAATAAATTCACCTTTTCAAATAAAATGTATGTGTCGCTTTAAACCATATGACATTTTGATAAAAGAAAAAAAAATATTAAGGCCCCTCTGTTTTCAGAAGTAATGATAAATATGTATTTGTTTAACTGGAACTTAACTTAAATACCTAATTGTGAAGTTGTAGCATACAAACTTAATCATTTACTTTACATGCAGTTATCGGGAATTCGATGAATGTGATGACATGATCGTTTTTAAACTCTTGTTTTCATAATTTTTATATACTATTGGATTTTTGCGAGGAGCGCTAACTTTAACAATTGACAGCTTTATTTTACACTAGGACAATGTACGGCAGCTCTTTTATGATATAAATATTTTGATCAACATTTAATTGAAAAAAAAAGGTTAAATTTAAAGCACAACTAAGTTACCCTTGAAGAAAACGACAACAATCCTACCCTCAGCTCCCAGCCCTCACATGTTAGAGACTCTAACACTATACCTATGACTAGGAGAAAGATTTTCTTATCTTTTATTAATTCTGTACCTCCGCACATGATAGAAGAAAACCGTTAACTGTAAAAGTCAGTGCTTCTCGCAAAAGTTCATTACTATCCCTTTGGTTCAAAATTTTACCAAACTTTAATTTATACCAATTAAATCTCTATGATGCTTCCACATTTATACGATTCATCCTGGCTTTGCTGTTCTTAAAAATGATAAAAAATGGCTCTAATCTCTAATATGTAAAGATTATGGTGAAAGAAGCTGTATCTATAGCTTTTAAACCATGAACGTATATTTGTCTTTTTATCTCCTTTTAACATTTTACATGTGTACAACGAATTTTATGCATTGTAATTACGTTAATTTGTAAATCATATGTTGTCCATTCCTGCAATAAAAAAGAAAAAAAGAAAAAAAAATGTCAATGAAAGTTTATTTTAACGCAAATTTTGCATGGGCTTATCAAGACGTCGCACACGGAAATGGGGCTGATTTTGTGACGTCAAAAAATCTGTTATTGCCGTTGCTGCGTACGTTGGTTTTTTTGCTTTTGTTTTCCTAAAAATGTTTTACTTTTTATTTTACAGTTTCTTTAATATTTTTTTATATACATGCACATCTTCGAAATGAGATTTTATTGTAACAGGTTTTTCCATAAAAAAGAGAATACAGCTTACATTATTGATATAGGTCCTGTTAAATACCATAATACGCATATTTGTGTTGTAGTAACAAAACCTACCAGACATCAAAAATCAGTCTCTCCTTTTACTTGCTTTTAAGTTGTGTTAAAGGAATATTTTACTGCTTCTTGATTTGCACATTTCATTTATCACTTTATTAATAATTTTACCAAAAGAACCTGTTATGCAATGAAAAATCTTTACAAAACATCATAAGTTTTCTAGTTACTTGTCATAATCATGACATGTCACGGAATGCTTTCAATTTTACGAACAGTCAGAATCGGTCAATATATTGGAAATTTATTAATGAATTTAATTTGACATCATCACGGGGCGTTATAGAAGATAAGTATAAAGTGGCAGAAAACTCCATGCAGCCAAAACGATAAAAATGATTAAAAAAACCCAAGTAACGCCCGTCGTTTGTAGTGTTACAATCGACGCAATTTAAAAACCCAATAACATTCCTGACGTCTTAGTGCAGTCATCCTTTGAGCAATTTACATACGTATTCCATAAAAATTGTTGAAAGGGGAGCATTTTGAAATTATTTTACACAGAAATTATATTAAAGCATTCGTGGCAGCATCAAATTCATCAAATAAAAAAAAAACGGTAAAAATAATTTTATGACTTCGGGTCTCTCATTATTTTCTATTTTCAGCAAAAGATTTGTGCACATCAACTAAAAAGTGTGAAGATGAAACTAAGACGTGCTTGTTGAAAGGACAGATCGGTGTTTGTGTATGCAATCCTGGGTATATAGGATTTAAAAACGAATGTTTAGAAGGTAAAAAACATGTCCAATTATTTCAATTTGAAAAATAAGCAAATTTTTTACTACTCTATCAGTGAAACTTTTTTTTGCACAAAAAATTAAAGAATTTAGACATATTGACAAGGAGGGTTCTCCATAAGTTGTTTTGCTGTGCCTGGCCCGACACAGTAACGATATTTTTTTTTAGTGCAACACAGAAAATGAGCAAAATAAAGTATTTTTATTATTCTGTTTTCTCTTTTATTTTTAATACAAAAAACACGATCAAATGATAAGAATCAGAGCAAATAAAGAGTTTGGTAAGGTACATTGTTAACAAAGTAGTTAGGTTAATTTATATATTAATGACTATTCAGAATTTCCTCTGCTCTTCAATGAATGTGTAAAGTATAATAGGATTTAAAGAAGCTCTAAACACTAACAGAAACTGTTTTTTTGGACTCGGAGAAAAATATATCGTATTACTATATGCATATTGAAACTTTTTCATTCATTTAGATTATAGGGTATGTGTCTTATATTTTGAGCAGAAATACTAGTAACTGTTGTTTACTTACATTGGAAAAAATAATGAAAATAATTAATTACATTTTTCCCTCTTGGTCTTATATAATGCTAAAAATATTTCATTATATTAAAAATCATCAATTAACTGTAAATAACAATTTCTTTAGTCAGACATCTAAGGGAAGACCACTCTTACTGCATAAAACTACCCTATAAATAGAGCTCTGTAGTGTGCGGTGTTTAAAGCGTCCTTAACAATTACTTGATATCGCGATTACTTAACTTACTTAGCGGAACTCTTTCGCGATGGAGGTAGGAAACGTCTGTTGGATGGGGACAAAGGTGCTATTGAATACAATGCAAGATCGATCATTTTAGAATTTATAAGGACAGATAAGTAAAAAAAATCCTAATGGAATACCTTGCTAAACAATCGCTGAACCAGCCTAATTAATTTTTGAGGTGAGCTTATCCTAAAATGTTACATTTTTATGATATTTTTAATTAAGCGGGCTCTTCTCATTAGATTTTCATTGAAAATCGTCACATTTTAAAGCTGATAAAATATTCTAAACTTTCCTTATTTGTCAATGTACAATTTGGAGTTCAATTCTTGGCAATGCATTGTACGTTCGGCATAAAATTGTGCGAATTATTCGATTGTCACTACTGTAAACAATGTCATGTGCCCCAGTAATCTCGCGAGATTTCGAGCTTTCCCACTCCCCCGCAAAAGAGCGGTAGTAAGTTAGATAACTGCAAGGTAATCGCGAAATTACGTTTTGCAACTTAATTAAAACTAAAATAAATTTTCCTTATATAAATTTCTTTAAAAGTAATATGTGTGTTGGGAGGGGGGTTTGTATTATTAGAGTGTGTTTACATTCTATAATTCAAACATTCTTGTGACTGGGAGGCCCGGGTTCGATTCTCATTTGCGTCATACCTAAGACGTAAACAAAAGTAGTGACTGTTCCTTCTAGCTCGGCACTAGAAGTGAAAGTCACGGGTCTTTCGGATATGTCCCGTGTCACGGTAGGCGTTGGCACGATAAAGAACCCTCACTGCTCAATGGCCCTTAGTGCAGAGTATAGGTCTAAATTTGAAGTCCTTCACCGGCATACGGTGACGTCTCCATATGAGTGAAAAATTCTCGAGTTGGACATTCTTATTGCTTTAAAAATTCATCATTTTAGCATAATCAGAGCAAAGATTGTTCATCAAGCTTATTTGATTGAAGCGAAAACCGCGAATATTTTTGCATAGTGCAAGTTTAAATTTTTAAACGCTACACAGGGTAAAGAAACATTCGTATTTTTGCAAGTTATTACAACATATTCTTTTTCTTTCTTATCAGGAAATTTGACACTGAATGGAACCTGCAAACGAAATGAGCAGTGTTCTATGGTATTTGGCTCAGTTTGTCAGAATAACACATGTGTTTGTGGACTTGGGTATAAATCATTGAATGATTCAAAATATTTGTGTAAGTCCATTTGTATAAATCAAATTTAATTAAAAAGTTTTGCATATTGAATGAATGATTGCCAATGAGTAACAAAAAAATTTTGAAATTATCATTTTTCAAATTTCATTATAATGAATTTTAAACATGGCTTGGTTGTATTCGGAAAAAATAGCAAACTAATCTTACTTGCAAACATATTTTCGTGTGTAAGTGAAAAGTAGAAACAACTAGCATTCTATATTTGTAGACGATAAGGGATCTAAAAATTGTTATATCCTCATCTAAACTTCTTTTCTTTTACCGTTTTCTCACCAGTAACATTTTCTACAAATATATAATTGCTTACAGTGCACTCTGAAAATAGTGATTTTGAAGCACGTGCCATAGACATGAGAGGTATGGGAATTTTCAATATTTTAATTTAGTATTAATACATTCCGTCGTCTGGGGATTGATCTCTCAAAATCCTCAAACAATACAGATATTTGAACTAGACATAAAACACGGACCCCTAAAAAGTCAAAAGATAGGAAAAGGGGGATAGAAAGTAAAACCCCAATCATATTTCAAAAAACAATTAATGGTCGACGGGTTTTAAGGCAAAAATAGCATTCTTCGTGTGACAGTCGGCAGTTCATCGGTCGTTTTCCTGTCCAATTTTTCGTCGCCCACCAAGTGGCATTTTTTGTTTGCCGGGCTTTGTTATATTTTTTTTCTGCGTCAGTGGTCGATTCCTCTAATTGCAGCGATCGTCAAAAAGTCTGTCGACTAACCTTCGATCATCGTCCGACCATCGGCAGACAGTTTTTAGACGGTGGCTAGACTGGATTATGAATAAACAATAGCGTAAACACACGGGGACCCTAGCTGAGATTTTTTTGCAGAGTCAAAATAATGAAAGTAGGATTGTTTTAATGTTTCATGTTTGAAAATAAAATGTACACAGTTAACAAATACATTCAAGTTATTTCAAAGACATTTCCTTGATGAACACATGCAAAGCCTCATTACTGATATTTGCTGTTATCAATATTTCTTGCCTCATGAATATTCATTGAATTACGCCGAACTACAACTAACTCATACACCAACCAACTCGTATATACGTATGCAAACTACAAAAGGCAAATCGTACACCTTTTTATTTTTGTTTTTTCTCACACGTGCGAAAAATCAGTTCGTACACACTATGTGTTAGTTTAAAATTGCAATAATATTTAGAATATTTGATGAAAAATATTTTTAGATATTTTTATCACTTTCTAGCTCCGAAATCAAACAATGATAATTTCTAAACAACACACGCGCGGCTGTTTCTTAAATACTATTTTGTTGACTTTTATACATTAAAACTTAAATAGTTTATTGTATTTTTACTGTCTTTTGATTGACTGAATTTCTATTGCCTGTTTACAATACTACATTAGAAAAAGAAATACAAGTATTTTAGGAAAGAAGAAAAAGATCACATCTTAATCAGTTAATAAAAGGGTTGTTGGTGGTACCATAGTATATACGATGCCATAAAATTGGCTGAGTTTATTACCATTCTATTTTTCAAAGATAAGACATTGCCTGATTATCTCGGACACTAAAACGACAAGTATTAGAATTTTCATGCGATTTAAGTGGGCTGAATTTAGGTCAGTCTTCGCGTGCGTTCACAAAGCTATCATGTATTGTGCAATGACTTGCAGGGTCATTGCATATAATATAATTACGTATGAAAAATAGTACCATCGCAAATCACGGCCAAAATGTACGATCCTCTCCCATTCTGGAGAGAGCTACATATATATACAGGCTCCGACCGTGACTTAAGACGACAGAAAAATAAAGGCAGAAAAATATTTTGTTATTCTGTTTTCTTTTCTCTCTTTTTTTTCGAGCAGTATACGAGGGCTGTCCGTTAAAGTCGTTGACAAAGCGTTTTTTCTCGAAAAATAATGAGCGCGGTAAGATGAAATTTTTAGCAAGTATGTATTTATCATATTTTAGTGTAAGTATTTGAATTCTTTTGATAAAATATAGGCAAAAGTCAATACTTTTTAACATGCTTTAACTCTTTACAAATTACTGAACTGTGACGAAACAAACACTAAATGTACACGTCATAGAAATATAGAATTACCTTTTCCCCACAAGCACTTTTTAGAGCGGTACAATTTTCTTAAAATTAAGCAA